ATGGATGGATGGATGGATGGATGGATGGATGGATGGATGGATGGATAGATAGATAGATAGATAGATAGATAGATAGATAGATAGATAGATAGATAGATAGATAGATATAGAAAATCATTAGCTTGAAAACCACCTATAGCAATAGTGCTTTCCTAGTTTATTTGTACAGTTCAAAAAAACAAATCTACAATAAATCTATTTATATAATTTATTCCTATCCCCCTTAATACATTTCTTGTAAGAAAAAGAGTAAAAAGGAATCTTAACATTTGTTCCTTATTTTATTTCAGCTATTGATGTGGACTGGTTTGAGGCAAACATGGCAAAATCCTGCTTTCACTTTCTTTCAATTTAAAATAAACAGTGATAACCTTAAAGCATTATTTTAATGCCAACATTCCATGATGTTATCCCATCAGATTGTAACATGTGTTTTCAGTTAGCAATATTTTTGAATTATTAGCCATTTTGTTATACAGTTAGACCAGGAGCGTGATATGGTAATTTGGAAAAGCTGCCCAACATCCACTAATGTTAATCTTTTAATAGATACTAGAAGAAGTGCTTTCTCAAAATAATTCCAATATACAGATCTGTGTGTCATCTTTTAACTAAAAGTAGTTCTTCTGCTATCAGTTGTATTTACAGTTGTATGGTTTTGTTTTGTTTTATGATTTTCAATAATATCAGTTGATAAAGGTCTCCTAGTTTTTCATTATCTACTCCTAATCAAAAACTGAGATTCTTCAAATCATATTCAGCATTTCAGTTGCAATTACTAGTTGGGTTAGCAGAAAATGGTCACCTTGCAAGAATGTGATTTACATGTTCAAATTATATATGGAACTTCAAAGGTATGTATACATATGGTATATTGCATCCACCGTTTAGCCATCAACTAAATTATGCTTTCTTGCTTTTTTCTTTTTTTGTTTGTTTCTTTCTTAATGCAACAGTGCGGGTGTTGGAAGGACTGGAGTGTTCATAACCCTAAGCATTGTGTTGGAAAGAATGAGATATGAAGGTGTTGTAGATATTTTCCAGACTGTCAAAATGTTAAGGACGCAGCGGCCAGCCATGGTACAAACAGAGGTGAGAAAAACAATTTTATACATGCACACACATACATATGTACATAAGTATAGTAATGATCAAAACTATGTTTTACTTTGCTGTTTATTATTCATATTTTGTAATATAAGCCAGTATAGAAGCCCACAAATGGAGTAATTCCATTCTTTGATTGAACAGTGCTTGAAGCAATGAAGACTTCCCATAAACAGTGACATATAAGGCAGGATGGGGAGAAAGAGAGATAGCACATCTTTATTTAGTTCCTGATTGGGGACTAAAAGGGTAGCAACTGGGAGTTTCACTATCGCCCAGTTGCCACCGCAGTTTTCCAGAGGATAAAGTTGTTCAGAGTATACGATTGTAGCTTGCATAACCTTGTGCAATTTTTCTGTGTATGTCCTTTTTTCTAAGAATTACATTTTGTGGCATTCATACACAGTGGCAAACATCCTAGGAATTTAACAACATAATGTGGGAGTCATAAGAGTTATATTTAAGTTTCATATAAGAGGCATGATGAACTCTTATAAAACTTTGAGTGAAAAGGGGTTTTTCAAAACAAAAAAAAAAACAAGAGGGAAACAACTAAGCAAATAACAGTCTAAGTAATGTGAGTACCCTTCTGTGGCACAACATGATCAGAAAACAGGTCACCAGGTTTAAGATTATTTCCCTTGTTTGTTTTAATTGCCACTTTGTTTTTTGTGGGGAGGGAGAAGGTCCACATTTTCTTGTAGATGTGGTGACAGAACAGTGGTGGGTCTTGGATACTAAGTATTCTGAAATATGTAGACCTTGCCACAGAAATTTGATTTATCAATAGCATCTGTTTCTTATTATTTATCTCAGCTGATAGTCAGGTTTTCTCACCCCTATAATGGCCTTTGGGCATCATTAACATAGGAGGTGAGCTTATCTGCTCAGTGAGCAACTCACTGTAGACTTTGCTCTCCAGGCAATGCACATGAGATCTGATATCTTCACAATAGGGTCATTTATTACTATAATACCTATAAGTACACTAATGTCATACTGCCCCGATCCTAATGTTTATACCACCAGAGGAAGACAATCTCCCCAAACTTCGAGAAAGAAAGCAAAACCAGAAGATATATTTGTATCTAAAGGATTCAATCCTTGTAATGAAAGACTGAGATTTTCTTCTGAGATTTGTAATGCTTTGCATTTGCTTGCTTTTATATATAAGAGTTGGTTTGATACTGTGTAGTTTGCTTTTTTGCCTTTTGGGGAATAACAGAGATTCAATAGCTATTAATGTAACTTCAAAGTCACGCTAGCTGCATTGCTGGTTGTGCATGTGTGTGTGTTCTAGATATAATATATGAGTTGTCCTGGACAAACCAGATGTGATAATTTTCCCAGTATGGAGAATCCCAAAGTAAAAGAGTAAAAAAAAACCAACATAAGTCATTTTCATAAAATATAGCATGCCTACCTGTTTCCTATGAGTCCATATTGAGAGAGGTCCATACAGATGCCACAGTCCATTGCTTCTTCATATATTGCAAGTTCTTTGCCCTATTGTATGTATCCAGCCAGCCTCCAGCTGCTAAACCTCCCAACTTGAGCCCAGATATCTGCAGAGGCTTGGGTTCACTTGAATTTAAGTAAAACCCCATGTGTAATTGAAATCCCTGCATTGTCACAATTCTTGATTACATGGGAGATTCTGTTCTCTCTCGACCACACACAAATAGCAAAGGCATGCATCTTTCTATTTCTTATTTGAAAAGGTCATCCAAGAAAGACCATAAATGTTCTGGGATTGAAAACAAGATCCCCCTCCCCAGTCCTTGCCCTCTAGACTCATAACAGAATTCCTTTCTATTCACTCCCACGTGGTTTAGACAGTAACAATCCAAGGATCTTCCCCCTTACCTTGCTCTAGATTCAGCAGAATCCGTTGCTGTGGGGAAGGGGTCATCTCAGGCAGGAAGGAGAAAAGGAGAAGGTAGATGTAACAATCAATAAAAGAAATGAAGAAGGACCACACTGCTAAGGGCCAGGAAGAATTTTTTCCCTCTTTATTGTATTGTTATATATCTTAATACATTATGTTGTCTCAGTACAATGATATTTATATAGTATTAATTAAAGTTACTGAGATTCTATTGGCTGGATAACTTAGAGTACTAAATATAAAGATTAAAAAAAGAAAAAAATATTCTGTCAGTGTTAATTACAGTGTAGGATATCACTATTAGAAGTGTAAAATTATTAGACTTCTTCATATAAGATTAAATATAATATTAAGAAATAAACTAAGATTACATCAAATAATTTTTTGTACAATAAAGATTTCAGTCTTAAGCTAGTTACTTAGTACTGAGGTCTCTGTTATATAATTGCTTAATGTAAGAGAGAGAGAGAGAAAGATGATTAGATAGATAGATAGATAGATAGATAGATAGATAGATAGATAGATAGATAGAGATAGCATGTTAATAAAAGGAAAAAGAATAAGAAAAACAAAACAAATTCATTGAGAGTTAAATACCAAAAATAATTTAAGGGAAAAAAAGGGAAAAAAAATACTGGGTTTCTAACTTCCACTTTTTATATACTCTGCTCATTTACCATATTGTAGACTTAGCCCCCTTAAAAGCCAGACTGCAAGTGATTATATTTGCCATGCTGCATGATGTGTTGTATGTATGGGAACCATTCTTGCTTAAATTTGGTTAAACTTCTAATATATATAAATGCTATTAGTTTGGCCATTGCTACGTATTCAGGGCAGGAAGGATTATATGGAGCTGCAAAAGAACATTTGGAATAATGCTGGCTATAGAAATGTTGGAGGTAGAAGCATTCTCTGTGTGCACATGAGCATGCCTGAAAGTGGGAATCTGACCTAAGCAACCTGCTGTGAAGCAGCTTTTATAACTATAACAAAAAGCAGATTTTTACAAAAAGGAAATACATTTTAGAGCTAGGCAAAGCCTAGCATATAGCTACATCCTACCAGAAACAGAGCCAGACAGCATGTGCTCTATAGATGTGAGCCTGGGAAACCAAGACAGAAGGAAGTGACCTCAAATTAGCAATATCTTAGACAAAGAGCAGGCAGTGACAAAGAAGATACAGAATAAACCCTTAACTCTATTTACTCCCCTTGTAGTCAGTAGATGTTAAGTTGCTGCAGAGTCAGTGGCATTGAATTCATGCTTTCCAAAAGGAATTCTACATTTCTTTTCTATCAATTTGAGGAAAGAGAATTGGCTTTTAAAATTCTGTGGAGTTCTTGGTGCTCTCTGAGCTTGGTTGCTTGCTTGATGTTTCATTACCCAACTAGGCAAAATCATCAGTGCGAGATGTTACCTAGTTGGGAAATGAAACGTCTTCAAGCAAACAACCAAACTCAGAGAGCACCAAGAACTACACAGTTCAACCCTGAACCATGTATATTTTCTTCTATTTAAAAACTCTTTCAGAGGAAAAGAAATGTTGAGATATTTCCTGGATAAGGTCTGAAGTTCTTGAACATATTCAATTATCAGGCAGTAAAGGCATATGTGTGACAATCTTCTCTTTCCACTGCAGCTTCTCTTCTTCCCCATTTCTCTTGATTCCAAGGGAAGGCATGAAGGAACTCCTTCCAAGTGGCTTTTTCAGTCATGCTGCTACTATTACTGCTACCAGGCAGTTTACCCGTGATTTTTTCCTTCATCTGGAAAAAAATAAGGAAAAAACCCACTCAATTTTTCTGTCCACAAGCTTGGTGGAATTCCAAATGGGAATTAAAGCAAACTTCCTTAAAATAAAATTAAACCATGGAAAAAGATACTTTTCATTGAGTCTTCCAACTCTGTGATAGAAGTAAAATCCATTTATTTTCCATTACCAATATTATTACAGAATTGTACATCTAAGCAAAATGAAAAACATCTTTGTGATTTCATAGTTTGTAGGGAAAAAAATATGTATATATGGCTGTGCACATGGGGTTTGTGTGCACATTCACCCCTTTGGAATTTATTGAGTGACAGTCTTCCATATAGCCCATACATTAGTGAACAATACACTTCTGAGAGTACCTCATGATGAATAGGAAGCACCCATTTCATGTTATATGGAATAAATTCCTATGGACCATAAATCCCTAAGAAACAAGCATGCTTGTTCTTTTTCTATGGCAACTTATATAGTATAAGTTGGTCCTCTTGGTCTCTCCTTCTTTTTAGTAATGTTTTTAATTAAGGTTTTATGTATTTATATA